GGGGCAGGCGGTTCTGCACCAGGCGGGCTGCCGGCGTGTGGGTGCTCTGTGCCTTCAACACGGCCATCCACACGGGGCTGATGCTGCGCCTCCATTTCTGTGGCCCCAATGTCATTACCCACTTCTTCTGTGAGGTGCCTCCTCTACTGCTTCTCTCCTGTAGCTCCACCTACGTGAACAGCGTGATGATTGTGCTGGCCGATGCCTTCTATGGCATCCTCAACTTCCTGATGACCATCGTGTCGTACGGCTTCATCATCTCCAGCATCCTGAAGATGCGGACCACCGAGGGGAAGAAGAAGGCCTTCTCCACCTGCTCGTCCCACCTCATCGTGGTGTGCATGTACTACACGGCCGTCTTCTACGCCTACATCAGCCCCGTGTCCAGCTATAGTGCAGAGAAGAGCAAGCTGGCGGGCGTGCTGTACACCATGCTCAGCCCCACGCTCAACCCCCTCATTTATACATTGAGAAACAAAGAGGTCAAAGCAGCCCTCAGGAAGCTGTTCCCTGTCTTCAGAAATTGATTTGTATTTTCTGAAACTTTCCTCCTTGGAAACTGCAGTGTTAGTGGGGACTGGCCTTTCTGTGAGGGGTCTGATGAGTGTCTCTGTACTGGAAGGTGGGTCACACTGTCTCTTCCACCCCAGCAGAGCATTTTCTCAGGATTCTGGTGCTCTGAGACTGGCTGGTGAGTGGCTTCAGGTTGAGGGTGATCTCAGGATTCTGGTGCTCTGAGACTGGCTGATGAGTGGATTAAGGTTGAGTGTGAGCCCACAAGTGTCCGAGACCTGGGGTCTCACGGTGTGACTCCAAGGTGACTGCAGTGCTGAGTTGACAGGAAAACAAAGCACTCTTGGAGGAGAGAAATGATCTGTGGGTTTTGGACTTACAGCCGTATGAGAATGCTGCCCCTTTTCTTTCTTTTATATGTACGATGTTTGGTATAAATCCTAAAATTTACACCTAGAATTTAGGTGTGTGACCTGAAAAGACAAGCAGGATTCTTAGACTGCCCTTGGATGACTGTCAGGCTGAGCAGTTACTTTAAGATGACCACTGCCTGCAGAGAAAACTTCTACCCCTCCGGAATCATTTGATTTAAAAAATAATTTCTGGTTGTAATTCAAGCTGTTGTTTCTGCGTGTCTCCTTTCTTTTCACTAACACTTCAGGTGAAATGTATTATCAGGACCACAACTTTGTGCTGAACATAGAAATCCCACCTTTATAACCTAATGTGTGATGTGTGCACCCAGGAGAAGTCTGAGACTCTTCACCTCGCCTTTCTTTTCACGGTGAGCATCTGACCTACCTCATTGGTCTGCAGTGGGCATGACTGCTCTGATTCAGCCCTAATAAGGGACACACTGTAAGAAGAAATGCATCCTTCCATTGTTTCAGAATACAACTGGGCGGACAGGTTCTCTGTGGATCACGAAGACCGATCTTGTGCTTGGAGTCTGTGCTGTTAGGAAACTGTACTGGAAAATCCATCCTATTATTATGATACATTAAAGATGATGGAAGCAAGATAGAAATGTTCAGCTCTCTCTTTGGGATTTTTTTTTTTTTTTTTTTTTGAAGAGGTTTTTGCTGTAGAGCGCATGCGCTCGCCAGACAGAGAGAGACACAGAGACAGAAAGCGAGAAATCACCCCCTAGGGGGGATGGCTATGCCGCAATCCCTTCTCCTCCATTCTCCTCTGGGGATCTTGTGCACGCACGCACACGCGCCTTGCCTGAGTTTTAAGCCACCGGGTCCGGGACGTGAACCGCAGTCGACTATGTGGGAGTCCAGCGACACAGCCATTACGCTAACTGCTGGTCCCCATCTTTGGGGTTGCATTTTAAAAACACATATTGTTTGCAATTATAGGTAGGAGCCAAGTCTAGATTTGATATTTAGTGTGTAAGGAATGAGTTATCCATTTTTCTTCATCCAGTATTTCTATTATTATTGATTTCATGTGTGAAATTCAGGAATGTGAATTGTGGCTAACTGGGATTTTGGCACATAGATTGTTACACCTCAGGCCTATTTTCTCCTGCTAGACTCCCCACATAGCATGTTGAAGTTCTCAGTGGTCTTGGAGACTTTCCAATAAAGGAGGTTTTGAAAACAGCTACCAATGATTCAACATGACTGTTCATAGGTTCTCGACGTGCCATGAAGAGTATTTTGTTATCATCTTAGTTTCTTATAATTTTACATTTTCTACATTTTACAATGGATTAAAAAAATAAAAACTAGTTAGCCAAGTATTGAGAGTTAAGAGATCATTACTAATTTAACAAAACAGAAATGAGACTTGATTTATATCCTTATAAAGCTTGCAGCCCAGTTAAACAGACACTAGTAGGATGGTGACACACCTGGGGCAATGACTATGAGGGGGAAACACTCGAAGAGTGTTAGCTCAGGGGTGGTAAAACGGTGGTGTAGGTGCTCAGGGAGGAGTTGTGAGTGTGGAAAGGTCCCTGAACTGGGAAAAGAAAGATCTGGGCTCAAGTCCAGGCGCTTTCATCAGCATTCAATCCATTTGAGCCCTAGTTTCCTTCAGTATAATGAGGATAATGAATCAAGCCAGAGATGAGCCCATATTGAATGAAAGAACAGAAGAACATGCTACTAAGTGCTGGAGTTTGCAGTGAGTGATCCCTGAGGACAGAGCAGTGGAGGACACCTGAACTTCGCGGTCCCTGACGTGGGTCAGAATAGTGCCTGTACTCACTGGCTGGGAAGGACAAGTGGAGCTAAGTGTGACACCACACAGGTAGGGGCTGAAGACAGGCATGGATTTGGCTCTCTGAAAATGACCCGGGGAGGAGAAGAAAACAGGAGCAGTGACCGAGAAACCATTCCAGTGGTTTCTACTGCAAAAAGTTGATCCTGTTTATCTCTGGAGTCTTAGGCTGATGGAAGACACCATTGCTACCCCGGGAAAAGCCCAGTGGGGAAGCTCCCTGACAGAGGTGGGTTTTCTGCCTCTCCTTAGTTCTGAATTCTCTTCCAGTTTTCCCAAACCACCTTCTTTCAGACACACTTTTTTCCTGTTCCTTAAACACAAACAGGTCCACTTGGTCTTCAGACTCATCCTCTTCCTGATTCAGTTAAGCCCCCATGTCTTGGGGTAGGCTCGCCTCGTCCCTTTGAGCCTATGCGAGCAGCAGTTCACTCTCTCTTAGCAGTGTTGGCACAGGGAGAGACTCCCTCCCTGCTCGGACACTTGGTGTCTCCCTTTTCTGGAGCAAATGCATCCCTTCCCCCCAGCTGACCTAACAACTAGACTTCGTTCTTCCTGTGGATCCTTTTGTAGCAACTGGAGCCAATCTGCCTCCTTTAGCTGAGAGGGAGAGGCAGCTCTTGCTTCCTCATAAAGTTATGTCTTAAAATTAGTCCCATGACTTAACATGGATGAGCTCATGACCCCACAGGCAATCTGCACACTGACCAGGACTTCATGTTTTCACATCTTTAGGGGCCATGGAGAGGCAGTGGTCAATTGATATTTCACCCATTTCTTTTCTTTTGTCTGACACTGTTCTCAGCGGTATCAAAAACATATTCTTTTTTTCAAATGACTCTCCAACCACAAGCCCTCACCCTTTTGGCATGCTCGACTGAAGCAGACCTCCAGCTGCGACAAGCAAAAGTATCTCGGACATTGCCGATATCTTTGAGAGTATTTCAAAAATTAGAAGGGGAGATAATTCGAAATTTGTTCCCTGTGGGTAGTTTATCCTGATACCAAAACCAGACAGGGACATGACAACACAAAAAATAAAACTGTGGGCCAGCTGGTGGCATGGTAGTTAGGGGGAATGGATCTCACATGGCCAACTGCACAGTTCAAGGTGTGGACCTGGCAGCTTAAAAAACATGCCGGGCACATGTGTGCATGTGCCCAAAATCCTGAAAGGAGAAATGGAGGAGGAGGGGTTGTGGGGTGACCATCCCCTGTGGAGGATGCTTTCTCATTCTTCCTTCCTCTCTCTCTCTCCAATGAGTGCAAACACCTGTAAGCAAATTTAAAAAAATAAAAAAACAGCTGCAAACTAATATGTCTGATCAATTTAGACACAAAAATCTTCGACAATAAAAAACTATGAAACTAGGGCCAGCAAGTGACATGGCAGTTAAAGTGCTGGATTCCACTCGGTCCTCTGTGCAGTTCAAGTCTGGGGCCCAGTGGATTAAAATCATGCTGGGCCCATATGCATGTGTGCCCACAATGTCAAGAGGAAAAACCAGAAGAGAAGGAATTGCAGTGTGGCCACCCCTCTTAGGAAGTGATTTCTCACTTTCCCTCTCTTTCTCTCTCTTTGGTAAGCCCAAATGTCCTATAGCAAAACAAAACAAAACAAAACACACACACACACAAAAAAAAGCAGTAGAAACAAAACCAAAAAGCTATCAACAAAATCCAAATGCAGATTTAAAAGATTATGCACCATAATTGAGATTTATTCCAGGAATGAAAAAAAAATACTATTAAGTATGCAAATCAATTAATGTGATACATTTCATCACTAGAATCAAGGACAAAAAAAAATGAGTTTTCCTCATTTTATTTAGGAAAGGCACCAGCCAAGCCAGGCCTATCCTGAAATGGATACCATATTTCAGCTGTGAAATATTGGTTTCTTTGACCAAAAACGAAAATTTTCTACTGAGACCTCCCCCTCCAGACTCATTTTTAGTGGGTAGGGATAGTTCAGTGTCTCTTTCTCTCCATTTCTGTCTGTCTCTCTCTGTCTTACTGTGTCTCCCTGTGACTTTTAACTTTATTTGAGAGAGACGTTTTTGCTATAGGGCACATGCGCTTGCCAGGAAGACAGAGAGAAATAGAGACAGAAAGCAAGAAATCACCCCCCTCAGGGGGATGGCAATGTCACAGTCCCCACTCTTCCATTATCCTCTCAGGATCTTGGGCACACACACACACACACATGCCCAGCATGAGTTTACACCGCTGGGTCTGGGATTTGAACTGCGGTCGACTACATGGGAGTCCAGCAACATAGCCATTATGCTAACTGCTGGTCTCTAATTTTTTTTTTTAAGGTAAAGTGTTCTCTGAGGTCTCAAGCATCTCCTTTATTGTGTTAATTGGTTCCTTTCCTCACTTCATTTAGCCAAGCCAGGCCTATCCTGAGATGGATACTGTACTTCAGCTGTGAAATATTGGTTTCCTTGAACAAAAATGAAGATTTTCTGCTAAGACTTCCCCCTCCAGACTCATTTCTAGTGGGAAAGGCACCAGCCAAGCGAGGCCTATCCTGAGATGGATTTCTGGTTATCCAATGGATTGTGCATTTCATCCTAATTCTTGAAGTTCAATCTGAGCATTCAGAAGCATTCAGGAGGAGGTGATCTGCAAACTCTCTTCCGTTCTGTTTTCATTCTTTGTGCATAAGACTCAGTGGGAATTGAGGAAGATTCTGTCCCTAGTCAAATTCAGATGTTTGGATACTGCTCACTTGGACCTGTCTAGATACTCAGTGCATAAAGGCTGAACAGCCAAG